GGGAAGACATGGAATAACATCAAGAGGCTAGCCCGGGATAGAGAAAAGTGGAGGGTGTTTGTCCGTGGCTATACCATGGTGCAGGGTGAGAAAGGCAATGATGAATGAACAATGTCTTATTCCGTATTTTTTCAACAGATTGCAAAAACAGAACAGTTACAAATAGCACGCAAAACCTGTCCTTCACATTCAATGTTTTCATTAGAATTTGGTTTAGAAGCCATCGGTATAGTGTGGAACACGAACCCTTTTTGCGGATGAACTGAGTTATAGTGCGGTCAAAAATTCGGGGTACAACTTATTGTCAAATATTTCCTAAACTATTGAACCTAAACTTTCCAACTTTTGCGCTATGACTTGTATTTGTCTTAACAGATCAGTATTTTTTGTAAACACCTGTCAGCTGTATTCTACCAAATTCCTCACTAAAGACTAATTCAGTAACACTCTCAGTCTCAGTCGGTGGTTTGTTCAGATTCTACTGGTCTACAAAGTTTTCAAACATTGTGCTTCCGAGCTCCAACAGCACTCTTTATACATGTACATGTAATGGATTTTGAGACCCTGAACACGAAACTGATAGAGAATTTTGTCGTTTAGGTCTAGTTTCCGAAAATATTTTTAAAAATAGGTGTTTAGGTTTTCATATTTTACAAATAACGAGGACTTCATGCTTATTTGATCAATTGTTTCTTGACTTACCTCTTGTGCTTAAGTTCCAGAACATTTCTGGTAACTAACCAACAACATTTCTTGTAACTAACCAACAGCTGTCAGCTCACACATTGTCACTCCATTCCCCTGATATCGCTTTCCATAGCTGATATTTATCAATATTTTGGTGAAAATGTTCCCCATATTCATCACCCACGGCATAACATTCATAAGGCCGTCTATATCGTTGGATGCAATAAAGTTGCCATTCTTTCTTTTAAAAATGGCCACAAGTCCTTTCCACTATTTCTTAATGTGCTCGCGCTCAGACCACTAGTAAACAAATGCATTGCTGGAGCCTTATATATATATATGTGAGGCAGCGTGGTGGAATCAGGCTCTCGTCAATTTTTGGGCATGTAGAGTTATTAGTATCATCTTAAGCATGTTCACTTGTCTTTATTTGGATGAAAAAAAGTATCCATTTATCTTGAATACAAGTCGAAATATTTACGAAAGAAGGAGGTGGGGGTCACCTCTTTTCAGAGGTCAAATTAGTGAGAAAATGGCCGCTAAAGGTTAGTTATTTCCTTAGCTTAAGAGTGTATATAT